CGAGATCTTCTCATCTTCTCACCAAAAACCGAAAACTTCAAAGCAAGGTGAGTTCATACCTCCCTTGTTTTCTGTTTTACTATGTTTTATGGGAGAATACAAGTTGCTTATGTGATAGATCTATGTATTTGTGCATGTTTATGTGTGTTTTCTTGGTATAAGTTGTGAATATGTGATGAAACTTTATAAATCTCGAAAACTCTAACAAATCTTGGTGACATTTGTAAACTTAAACACTTTATACAACATACCATGAAGATTAAAGTGTTAAACATGTGAAGATTGTTGAAAAACTAAATAAAATCTTCTAAAGGGACCATTTTTGATAAATAAACAAAAGATGGGACTTTTATTGCACCTACGGTTTATCAACGACTAAAAGGGTCATTTTTATATAAAAGTGGGTCATTATGGTATTCATGGTTTTAAAATGGCCAAAAGTGTTAATTTTCACATAATGGGCCTTAATGTGGGCCCTCACAGTTTATGGGCCTAAATTACCTAATTATATGCACATGTTAGCTAGTCGATTATGTTTCCATAGTCAAATCCTAATGTTAATGGAATTCCATATAACATTAATGTTATCAATGTGCTATATGTATTTAATACTTGCTCTTTCATATAGCTAAAGGTACGATCTTTCTTTTTATTTAAGAGAACTACTCTTAAACACAAACAATATTGATCAATCTTTCTATCTTGTCCTTTTTAAAGGTTTTTATAGCAATTAAATTTTAGTGGATACTTTTAAGACATCACTCAATTAAGGATTAGACTTAGTTTGTTTTATTGATCCTTAATGAGTAATTACCCAATTACAAAGTTATTTAAAACAAGGCTACGATCCATATTTCACTCTAAGATGCGAAGTGGATTAACTAAAAAATCACACCAAGAAGCTATTTAGGTAGACAAAAAAATTATCAATCTCCATCTTTATGAGATCCCTAGATCTTTCGAGATTTATTAACACCGTTTCAATAACATGTTAATCTCTTCTTATGTTGATTTAGCATTCACGACTAGATTAGCCGAAGATCATGAATCCAAATGGTAAATTCACCATGCGAAGCTACATGATATTCGGCTCAAGTAACACTTGAGAATCATGATTACCATATACCATACTTCGATAAATTCTTATTTGACATGCCGATAGACCACCTATGCCTAACGCTAAGAAGAATATATGACAAGACGTTGTTTCCATAGGAAACATAGGATTCACGTTATTATTGTAAAGTGGGATTTTGTTTTATTACTTATTAAGTTAATACTTTTAACTTTGCACAATTGTCCTATTAAACCCTTTCGGTAACCCTACTTCATAATGCAAAAAGGCAGTGAGGGTGATGAGCAATAAATGCCTCTTAAAATCCAACCTCATTAGGAATCAAAGAGATATACCTTAAACCTCCCTTATAACAAATAAAATAGATGAGTCTAGTCTTGGTAAGACTAACAATGCAAATTAAGAAACATGCAAGAACGCAATGTTTATTTTAGTGTTATACATATAAATACTATTTTACTATATATACATATTTGTGGGTTATATGTCTTTTAGTTATATTGACTAAAAAGTCAATAATTAAATGATATGAGTTCTAATCTTTTGTCTTTTAGTTAATCTTATAATTAAATCAAATATAACTTTATCATTTAGTATAAAGGCTAGTTTGTATGTGATTAAGATTGAAAAAGATGAGCAACCAAAAATAAAAACAAATTTAGAAGAGTGTGGAACTTTAGGTTTCATGACATGGGGAAAGATATGCCACATTGTGATACATAGAAAAAAGCGATTTTACTAAATTATTATTTTTAGTTTTCAGCAGCTAGCCATGACGTGGCCTAGAAGAGAACACAACGTAGCGACAAAGTCAATCGTGATTCAAGCATATACAAGTAGATACAAGGATGTGGTAGAGAACCAGCCACGTCGTTGGGAAGAGGCAGATAGACTTACAACGATGTTTTTCAAGCATAAACCGATTTAATTTCAATCAAGGCAAATTTATGTATTTAAAAACGATTTAAAACATAAACCTTACACATACAAACCCTAACATACTCAAAGGACAAAGTCTAAGTACAATAGACTTGAGTTAGCCATGCGCTTTAATACCACTGCTGGGTTTTGAGCCTCACTAGATCAAACATAGGGCAGCTAAATAAACAAATATGACGTAACACTCGAAACTTATGGGATCTAAACTCAACTAATTTATGCAACTTATTTAGAACTCAACTGAACAAAAAGCATATGTTTGATTTCATCATAGAATCCTTCTTTTGACGAGCTAGTTGATTGGTCTGGAGAACCAAACATAGAGTTTCTCTATTGTAATCGCATTCAAGATGCAAAATGACATCGGATTTAAACAAACAACCACGAAGCAATACAAAACAAGCTGAAATCGATGATAGTTTTCATCGTCACAACGTGACAGAAGAGGTGTCACATTGTAGCATCAAGCCTTCATTTTTTTCTAGGGTTTTCTCAAGGGTTCCAACTTTTGGTGTAAGAAGGCTAATTTTCATCTATCCAAGACCGGGATTTGACCCCTTTATTTATAGGGAGGTGGTTTGAAATCCTAAAGATAATTACCAAATCTATTAGTAATTATCTAGGCTTTTGGTAATTATCCAAAAATCAAACCATTAGAATATTCCATATTCTCCATGTTTTCTAATTAATTGATTAATCTATTAATTAATTAACAAAACATAGTCCTTAAAAAATATTTTTTCAGTTCTTTACTTTGTTCTTGAATGTTACCCAAAAGGATACTGCTATTTATAATAATATTATCGTGATTGTTGTGGCTATGGATACTATTCTTCATCATGATCTACTTGTGGATGTATTGTCCTGGCAAGATCTTAGTAAGTTTCCAAACAATATATTTATTTACCAAATGGATCATACCTCTTATAGGATCTTAATTGGTCATTCCGTATTTGATAGAACTTGGTATTCATTGGGATTAATGAAGAATCTGAGAAATAGTTAATATGACTTTATAAATACAAACAAATACTAAAACTTAGTAATATTTGTATTTAGGTCATTTAAAAGGAAAAGAGGAAGTGTTAGATGAAGAACTAACTTAATTGTAAATCTTTCGCCTTTAATCAGGTGAGTCTGTAGTCACTTTCATGAGTATAATCTTAATAAAAGTATTTATTACTGAAAAGACTGAAGGTATATTGAGTGGTTATTATCTGTATTTTTGTTAAATGTATACCTTGTATAGTGAGTGCGTAGTTATTTTCACGACACATAAGACTAATAAAAGTATGTATGACTTAAAAGATTAAATTTATATCTTGTACAGTGAGTATGTGTTTACTTTCATTGTTTGAACATGATTTTAATAGAAGTATATAGTACTTAAGAGATTAATGTATACTAAGTGCTTACTTATTGTGTTATGTGCTAAATGTTTACCTAGTATTGCAATAGTATTTCATAAACAAGAAATTTATATTGGAAGTTAATTACATATATTGTAATCTTTTCTAGTTATAATCTAAGACTTATAAAGGATGTTTTGTTCAAATTAAGTTTAATAGTAAGTAGTCTCATTATATGGTAATGCATAAGTACGAAATGGAGTGTAGAATTCCCCATCCTTCAAGACATCCATTTGGGTGTGTTTGGATTAGACAACAAGTGAGTATGTCTGAATCATCTACCATAGTAAGATGACAATACTTAATTATTTTAAATGGTCTTTCAAATTATGTTGTTAGTATGGATTTATAACCTACAAATATAGATCAAATGAGATACCATATTTATCAAATATGCTAATGTTTGAATTGTCTTTATGACTTAACATTGGCCAAGAAATCCATTAGTTGTGTATTTAAACCGTTGCTCAAAATGATTCATCACGTAAGCTAATTCTTCCAGATGATTGTTGATTATAATTTATAAGAATCAATTGGGTTGGGCAACTATGGATAGATTATCTAATAAACATATGTGTCGGATTATATATCTATACTGTCTGTTAATGTTTGTTTTAAATTTTATGTTTTTATGGCTTTGTTTGTTGTAATTTTTTTTTAAAATCTAATGAAATTTTAGTTTTAAAATAATTTGGTTAAATTAATTATTTTTAATATAAATTAATTTTAAAAAAAATAGCATAATCATGACATCTTAATAGCAAATGTTTTGCAGCAATGTGACTCAACCGGAAAACTTCGTTTATAGACTCTCGCTGACATTCTCTCTAACGTGGATCGAAGCAAATATACTACAAAGTCGTCGTCTATCCGGCTCGTGGCTAGAGGAAGTACTGATCAATCGTTCTAATTAGTCTTCTTTTTTGGCTTCTGTCTCTGGTACAATCTCTCTCTTACTCTCTATGACTCTATGGGATGTTTTCCTTTTTCATGTATTGAGCTTCGTATATCGATTTCTTTCTTTGAGGCTTTATATCGAACAGTGTACCTGCATCCTTATTTTCAGCTTTTAGTTTCTGATCATCATAATGAGAAATAAAGTTGTTCTTTTTCTTTCTTTCGATTCGATGGTTTTAGCAATCGATGTGAAATAAAGTTTTCCTTTTGGGCTGGATTCAGTTGTTAGGGTTTGTTAACGTTATCATTCAACAAGCGTAGGTTTCGAGCAACAAAACCCATATCCGATTTGATCATAATTCATGAATCTTAACCCAACCACATGTATGTGTTTTTAGTTTTTACCCCTCTGATTGTTTTCATGTTTTGATGGAATTCCGTTCTCGATTTTTGTAGATTCTAATATAATGGTTCCGGAATTCAAACTACGCTTAGATCTTTGTAACTTCTTTTATGTCCAAAAAATTGCTGTTATGTAGCAACCTGTTTGCCTTTTTCAATGCAAAATAACAACTTGTTTATAGATTTGTTTAGTTTTAGGTGATAAATGTTAATTTTTTGCATCGATGATAACCAAAAATAGGTTGTTATTAGAAGAGAAAGATTGATAGTTAACAACAATGGCGGATTATCACTTTGTGTACAAAGATGTTGAAGGAGCATCAACACAATGGGATGATATTCAAAGAAAGCTTGGAAATTTACCTCCAAAACCCCCTGCCTTCAAACCCGATCCTTTTACTCCTGCAGAAGATGAAGATTCAAAACCTAAAGACAAAAATTGGATCGATAACAAGACAGAAGAAGAACTTGAAGATCTAGAGGATGATCTTGATGATGATCGATTCCTTGAAGAATACAGGTAATTAATACTAAAACTCAATACAATTCTTATTTTATTTATGACCATTAGATTTTCTAATAAAACTTCCAAGTGAGATTCTTGTGCTTTGTAAAAATATTACTATAAAGGGGGTTTCTATTGTGGCTTTTGTTCATTTCTTACGCTGAGGGTGATTTAGAATTTATTATTTACATTACCTCTAAAAAAGAAGGGTAAAATGGTCATTTGCTCTCATTCAAACCGGCCATTCAATTCCTCAAATAGCCTATGTTCATGTAGCGTTATAGTCATTTACTCTCATTCAGTAAAAAAATTAGCCTATATTCACATAACACTTCCTTTAGACATTCTAAATGGAGGGGTAAAATTGTCTTTTACTTACATTTAGTCAAAAGTTAGCCTATATACTTGTAACACTTCCTTTAGACATAACGATAAAATGGTCATTTACTCTCATTAACTCCAAAAATAGCCTATATTCATATAGCGCTTTTTCTCTAGACCTTCCAAACAGAAGGGTAAAATGGTCATTTATTCTTATTCAGACAGTTCATTCAGTCCAAAGTCCAAAAGAACAATCTTTGTTCATATAGTTTCATTGGTGTTCTTGAAGGAGAAAGAGATTAGCAGAGATGAAGCAAATCGTGAAAGTTGCAAAATTCGGATCAATCATACCGATTTCTGGATCAGATTTTATACGCGAGGTATTACAAGCTCCATCTGACGTATGGGTAGTGGTTCTTTTATATAAAGACGGGTAATTACTAATTACTAATTACTAATTTACTATTCAATTTGTTACATGTTTTTATCTTTCATTATTAGAAATGAATTTTTGCATTACATGATTCTTATTTATTTATTTATTTTTAAATAGGTACCCTGAATGTGGAGTACTAATGCAATGTCTTGAAGAACTTGCAACAATGTATTCGGCCACAAAGTTTGTTAAAATTATATCAACTGACTGTATTCCTAATTACCCCGATCGCAATCTTCCCACTTTGTTGGTCTATAATAACAGCGCAGTGAAGGCGAATTACGTGGGTTTACATACTTTTGGTCGCAGATGCACTCCGGAAGGTATATAACTTTTTGAAAACTAGTGGTCCCCACACGTTTGTCCTAACAGTAAGAATGTCAGAAGGAGGTCTCAAATTCATTCACTTTTGCAAACTAGTAGTCCCCACATGCTCATCGTAAAAGTAAGAATGTGAATAAAGTCTCAAATTCATATATTTATATTTTGAAAACTAGTGGTCCCTACATGTTGTCCTACCAGCAAGAATATCATAATCATCAACTTAAAGTAAGAATGTTGGAATGAGGTTTCAAATTGATACACTTTTGAAAACTAGTGGTCCCCACATAGGGCTGACAATTATCGACACGACCCGCGATACGACCCGCAACACGACACGAAATAAATGGGTTTGGGTTGAGTTTTTCAACCCTCCAACCTGCCAACCCGTTTATTAAACGGGTCATATATGGGTTTCTCAAAAATAAACGGGTTGACCCGCCAACCCGTTTATATTCTCAATAAAAAAATAATTTTATTTTTAAATGTATTTATATATCAAGTATTAATATTTAATAAGTATTATATAATATATACCATTTATTCATAGACTATTTGACTATTTTGACATTTTGACTCGTGGTGGATGGTTTAAGATCGTAAGTCGTAACCTCTAAAGCTAAGTCTGTAAGATGTTTCTATAAATGTTTTTAATTTTCATTTGGATGTTTAAGACTTAAATGTCTAAAATTTGGACCCACGAACCCGCCAACCCGTGAACCCGTATAAATAAATGGGTTGGCGGGTCATATATGGGTTTATGTTTCAAACCCGCCAACCCGTGACCTGTATATTTAAATGGGTCGTGTTTGGGTTGGTATATTTTGACCCGCCAACCCGCCAACCCGCGACACGCCAACCCGAACACGACACGATTGCCAGGCCTATCCCCACATGTTTATCACTAACGGTAAGAATATCATAAAGCATTAACGTGGAGTAATTATGTTAGAAGGAGGACTGAAATTCATACACTTTTGAAAATTAGTGGTCCACACATGTTTGTCCTAACAGTAAGAATATTATAAAGCATTAACATACGGTAAGTATGTTGTAATGAGGTCTCAAATTCACACTTTTGAAAACTAGTGATCCCCACATGTTTTTCGTAAAAGTAAGAAAGTAGAAAGAATGTTAGAATGATCAAACTTAAACGAGCTCTCAACTTTATACACTTATATTTTGAAAATTAATGGGCCCTACATGTTTGTGTTAACAATAAGAATTAGCTTCATATAATTATATTTTGAAAACTAGTGCTCCGTAAATATTTATCCTAAAAGTCAAAGTATCAAAATCCATAACTTATCTTTGTTCTGATTCATACACTCGCATTTTGAAAACTAGTGGTCACCACATGTTTGTCTTAACAGTAAGTGTCAGATTCATACACTTTTATTTTGAAAACCAGTGGTAGGTACATGTTTGTCTTAAGAGTAAGAATATTAGAATCCATAACTATTAAGTTTATACACTTATATTTTGAAACTAGTGATCCCCACATGTTTGTTCTAGAAGTAAAAATATCGGAATTGATGACTTAACCGAGGTCTTAGATCCACTTATATTTTGAAAACTAGTGGTCCCTACATGTTTGTCCTAACAGTAAGAACGTCACGTCAGAACCAATAACTGTGATCTCAGATTCGTTTTGAGAAGCCATTATGTTCTATTTCCTTTTGTTGTTAATGGATTTGGGTTATGTGTTGGGTGTTGCTATGATTTTGTGTCAATCGGATCCTGTTCTTAACGATGGGCAGAGTGAAGGTGAAGCTTCTAGAGATGCTGTTCTTGAAGGGGTGAGGAGGAGGTTTATAGAGAAAGTGGTGACTCAACATGAAAATGATGATGATGGGTCATCGAGTGATTAGCATTGTTGTTGTCGTTATGTTAAATCATAGGTATTTTGTTGGTACAACCTTTTAAGACAGTTTTGGTGTTTCTTCTATTTTCTTTTGATCCGTGCAACTTAAAACATTAAAAATTCCCATCCGAAAAATTTTGTATGTTTTCTGTAAGTTCTTTTTTAAATGTATTAACAATTTAATTTGTTTGCTTTTATATATATATATTATATATATATATATATATATATATTATATATATATATATATATATATATATATATATATATATATATATATATATATATATATATATATATATATATATATATATATATATATATATATATGGTCATTTGGCATTCATGTCCTTCGGTTTGATTGCATATCTTCTTTGTATATACATAAGAGTATCAACTCCAACATTCATAATGCATATCTTTTTTTGTATCATATGCTTTACATTAGCTTGCCCTTTCGGTATTTTTTTTTTTAAATGGAGACAAACATCCTTAATTGTCGGTTTTTGCATATTGAACTTTGACAAAAAGGTTAAAAAAGTCATTTGAGGAATAATGCAAGTAGGGATGTCAACGGGATCAAACGGGAGCGGGAATAGCTGCCCCCGCTCCCGCCCCCGAAATCAATTGTTGCCCCCGCTCCCGGTCCCGCCCCCGGCTCCCCCGTTTACATAGCCCCCGGTCCCGCTCCCGGTTACCTCCATCACCCCGGTCCCGCCCCGTTCCCGGTTCCCCGACTTAAAATTCGTTTTTTTTGCTAAACGACTACTTTGTGTTAAGCTAAAAAGCTTGTTTTTAATAACTTTAAAAGTTTAAAACATAATCTTTTAGAAACTAAACAATTAAAAATTCAACATTACGAATTCAATATTACAAAACGACAATTCCATCAATTTTAAAAATATAAAATATGACAAATCCAATATTACAAATATAAAATACTTACATATCCAAAAATATATGATCAATTCACTACCTCTTCAATATCTATTATAATTGAAAACGGGAAAGTGAAACCTAACCTACATTTAAATTAGAAAATCTATTTTGTATATGTATTTTATATTAAATATATATTTTTTACATAAATGTACAACCGGGGCCCCGCGGGAGTACGGGACGGGAATACCAACTCCCCGCTCCCGGTCCCGAAAATAAGCGGGGTTTAATTTTGCCCCCGCTCCCGGTTTTTTTAAAAATTTAGTCCCATACGGGATCGGGGTCCCACGGGAGCGGGGTTCCACGAGGGTTTTTGACATCCCTAAATGCAAGCTAAAAGACAATTTTTGTGTCTATTTAATTGGCTACAATCCGTTCTTTTTTGGCTAAATGTTGTTAGTAAAGTTCACATTTGTTTATTAGAGCATCCATTATGCTGAAAATCACGGGTCAAAAAAAAAACATTTTTAAAGTGATCCAGTTATTTTATGCAATAGTAGATTGCAAAGGTAGTACTTGTCCACCAGATTTGGAATCCGTCCAAGCTTTTTTACCTCTTTCAAAACTTCCAAAGGGATCCACCATTAACATATATTTAATTTAATTTGTTCTCCATTCACATTATTTTTTCACATTTCATTTAATATCCTTTGTTTTCTTGGTTTATTAGAAATACATAAAACTTAAATATTACTTTTTGTATATTATATCATTAGAAGGAGGAGTATCAAAATAGAGAAATTAAATTGATTCCTACTTTTTATACCTATAAATGTTCCTACCCAATAAAATTATGATAAGTGTCATCTTTCCATATTTTTTAAACTAAATCATTAAAACTATATTAGGAATATATCAAATAAATTAAATGGTGATTTGTCATAATTTTAGTGGGTAGGAATAATTGTAGGAATAAAAGGTAGGAGACAATTTAATTTCTCATCAAAATAACGTCAATATTGAATATTTTTGTCAAAAAGTTTGATTTAAGCAAAATAGTCGGCTGTTATTCTTAGTTTTGCAGTTGTTTCTTTAATTATAAATAGAAATGTAGTTATATATGCAAGATAGGAAAATCATGTTTATTTGATGAAAAATAATACTTCAAGACGAAGTATTCCATACTTTACCATATCTACACGTACAAAAGCTTTAAAATCCTAAATCCTCCCTCTAACAAGCCTTATCCCCCTCACCCACAACTCCGCCCTTTCAACCCCACCCTCACAAACAAAATGCACCTCTTTCCCCTTCATAGTCACCACCCTAAAAACCCCTGCCATGTCAGCATCCCCCTTCTTCTTCCTACACTTCTCAAAACTACCACTAGGCCCCACCTCAACCTCCCTACAAATCACATTCCTACACCTCGAACTCCCCCACCTCAAAACCCCTTCACCAACTACCATTCTCAACGTCTTCCTATGCACCACCCCTCTACCCCCTTTTGTATATTTCAACACGTCACCACCTCCAACAACTAAAACCCTCGCCAGCTCATCTAGTACCACACATTCCACGTCATCATTCTTATTCTTTCTCGCAAGAGAAAGCGCGGTTTCTCCTTTCAAGTTTTTGAAATCACAAAGGGACCCACACGAGATGAGGAATCGACACATCTGTCCATTCCCTTCTCGTGCAGACAACATGAGGGGGGTGTAACCATCCCCATCAGGGATGTTTACATCGTACCCTCTGTTGACCAACAGTTTGACCGCATGCACGTCACCGTGACGTGCAGCGTAATGCAGAGGGTAAAACCCTCTTGCGTTTTCGTTCCCTTTCTCGAGGGTAAATTCGACCATTACCTTTTCAAACATATCGTAATTTTTGTGATTTTTCGATAAAGAAATAGCAGTGTCACCGGATTTATTCGTGAGTTTCACATCGCATCCGGCGTATACAAGGATCCGGAAGGCTTCGAGGTAACCTCGTTTTGCGGTTACCATAACCGCCGAAAAACCGTTCTTGTCTTGTTCGTCGAGGTTCGTTTCTTGTCGTGCAAGTAACGCTTTTAATGCGTGTATGTCTCCGGAATGTGCGACAAACATAAGAGGCGAAAAGACGGTTGGATTACTTGATGTAGGTAATGTTCCGGATCTTATAATGTCTAAAACCATTTTTTGAAAGGTAAACGACCACCGAGTTGACTCGGCGATCAACTCAGCCGATTGACCCGCTGAGTTGAGTAAACCAAGATCAGCGCCGGCATTTGTCAAAACTCGGAGACACTCTTCTTGTTTGAATTTGGCGGCTATCATTTGAGCGGTTTCATTGTCGTGTTTGGTTCTAGAATTGATATCGCACCCAGAGGATATAAGTTCTAGAAGGATTGACGGAAACCCGAGGCGTGTAGCCATGTGAATGGGTCGGGTTTCGTTTTGTTTGGCGGTTATGATAGGGGATTCCACGTCAGATCCGAGGTTTATTAACGTTTTGACGGCTCCTGTGTTACCACAAAGTATGGCGTGGTGGAGGAGGGTTCTAGAATTGTGACACGTGTCAAGAGATATGTGTTGGAGTAACATTTGTAATATGGTACCACTAGATTCGAAGTACTCGACAGCACACCATGTGATATCATACGGCTCTGCTAAGCCGGCGCCGACCTTAAATTCGTCACCTGAAGTTATGTCCCATGACCATGCTCCTAGTTGGACCGTGGTATTGGTATTGGCCCCAGCCTATGAAAAAAAAAACGTGATATGTTAGGTGGATGTGTTTGGCAGAAAAAGTCAAAAATAAATTAAATCAATATTTTGTTTCGTAAATAATATATTAAGTAGTGGACAAATTTAGTTTCTGAATTTTCTGATGATATTTGGTGCACCATTATGATGAAAGCGTCGTATATTCATCAATGGTTACAAAAATCCAGCTGTTGGACAGTTGTTGTAACAAAGATACTAATGGGCCCCAAAATCTTTCAAAGATGGTGTCAAAGGGGTTTGTATCAGAAATTGGAGTACTATACAACTATTCCACACCGTTTTCCTAATAATCCAAATAGAAGTTAATGCAAGATTTGGATAACATTGTTTGATTCATGTTTTTTTTAAGGATTGAAATCGGTTTTAAAGTAATAAAATCTAATTCGTTACGTGTTTAGCTGATAGGAATAAAATGAAATTCAATAATAGATGTTTTTAAATTTTAATCATATAATGAATTAAAAGCGTAGATCATGAAGTGATTTAAAAGATTTACCTGTAATAAGAGACGAACGACAGCAACCTGTCTACTAACAACAGCTGCGACAAGGGCTGTACAGTTGATATTTGTATGGAGAGAAGGTTTAGAGGAGCAAAGAAGTACTCTAGCAGACGCATTTACATCTACTCCACACTGTCGTTATTACAAATTACAATCATGTTAATGATTAAGTCCAACTTATAATAGTTGAAGAAAGGGTAAATTACAATAATGGTCCCTGTGCTTTACGCAAATCACAAATTCAGTTCAAATTTTGAAATTGTCCCTGATCATATAAAATGAATTCAAAGTTTGGATTGGACTTGGGATTTTGAGTAAAACACATGGACCATATCCACAACAAAATGTTAAGGATGACAATGAGAGTTTCAAATTTTGGACTGAACTTGTGATTTTGGGAAAAGCACATGGACCAAAATTGTAATTTACTCTTGAAGAAAAGTCACCTACAAGCTCGGTTAACGTGGACTTTCCGTTACTGATTTTCTTTCACTAGGGTCAAAAGAGGGAATTTTTATCATTTTGGTCCCTATTACAAAGTTTTATTTCAGTTTTGGTCCTAAACTGTCTACTTTAACCATATAGCTGTTGAATTTCTGAAAATGACCATTTTGCTCTTATTTGTATTTTTACCAATAATTATTATTTTAATAATAAAAACGGAGCCAAAATGGTCATCTCACAAATTTAACACCAAGATGGTTAAAATTTATGGTTTAGGACCAAATCCGCAAAGAAATCTTGAAATAGTGGCCAAAAATTGAAAATATAAAATTTAAACCAAAGAAAACTTTGCAGTTTACTCTTAAAAACAGCCAAAGTCCATGAAAAATCAAACTAGTTTGCTTTTATTTG